AAAAAAAAATCACTTAGAAAGTGACTAGAGGTTTTCTCAGGCTGTTGTAAGCTGGTGGTCATCAGTAACCTCTGCAGGAAGTCAGAGCTATGAGAGGACAGACTGGGAGCTTTGAGGTCTGGCTGAAGGAGGAGATGGGGGGTTTCTGTGTAGCCCAAAGATACATGGACAGACAGATGGGTGAGTGGATGACTGAAAAGATGGACAGATGGGTAGATGAATGAGGATATTGATGGGCAGATAAAAGGATGGGTACATGGGGGGTGAAATGGGTAAATGGATGGATGGGAACATTACTGGGTAAGTGGATGCATGGAGAGATGGATAAACGAATAATGGATGGATGAATGGATGGATGGAGGTTATGTGGATAGGTGATAGTTGAATAGATGGATGGATGGGTATTCAGATAAATGACTAGATGGGTGGATGAATAAATGTGTACAGAAGTACAACACAGTAACTTCTCTAAGCAACCTAACTTGGAAGGCCAGTCTACAATACTTTTGATTAGACTGAAGATACATCTGGTATTATTTGGAGGCCTAGCTGCAAAGAATGATAGAGAAGTGCCACCCCTGGTCCTCTGACTCTACTTCTAGCTCTAGAGTATTCTGGGTCTTTGAGGGTCCAGGCTGCGCAATAGCTAAGAAACTCTGTATGATATTGAGGTTTATTGTCATGGGAAACCCAGTGGCAGAAGTAGAGGCATTCCAAGGAGCGGACCAATGAGGTTAGTTTGCTCTAGAGGTCACATGGGACACCACTGTCAGAGTATGAGGACCAGAAACCCATCATCTGGAGCAAGGGAAGGAGAAAGCTATAGTAAAGTAAGGGAGAGCCATAGACAGATATGCTACATTCCTGTGCATCAGTGAAGCCTAGGGTGTCTAGGGTATGGACAAATTGGAACATCAAGATCAAGAAGGGATCTTGCCAGGTGTGGTGGCACCTTTAATCCCAGCACTCAGGAGGCAGATGTAGGCAGATCTCTGTAACCAAGGCCAGCCTGGTCTATATAACAAGTTCCAGGCCAGCTGGGACTGCAGGGAGACTATGTCTAAAAGAATGATAGTAAAAATAATAATAGTAATAATAATAAAATCAAGGAGGCTCTTGTCCCCAACCCTAGAATGCTTGGAGAGATGAGCTCCATAATTACTGCCTACTGTATTCCTGCCATAGCTGTGCCATAGTCATAGTACTCCTGATATTAATTCCTATTTTACAGATGAGTAAATGAAGTCCTCAGACGACAGCTGATTTTTGATTGGCATCTCACCTTTTCTGCAGAAGACTTCCTCCTTTACAATTCCTTCCAGACCAGCTTTTTTTCTCTTCCCAAAAGGAAGTATGGCTGTCAGGAATTCACATTCTCCTTGGTGATCAAAGACCAAAAACCCAGACTCAGATTGGAGAGTATGCAAACCTCACCTCTTCACCAGACAAAGCCACAATGTTGAGCCAATAGTAACAAAGAATCCCAACGATGGAAATCTTCAGAAGGATGTTCCTAAAAACAAAGGAGAAAATGGTTCTGCTCACTTTCAGTGCAGTCTCTCACACTGTTGGCCAGTATTTTCTCAGGCACACAGTAGGACAGATGTTTTTCTGTCCTCCAAGGCTGGGTATGCTCAGAGGATGAATTCTAGCAGGCAAATTGGGAGCAGAAGTACAGTGTGTTACTTCTAGCCTTGAGCACTGACTGTCACCATGAGACCTTCTAGCACTCACTGCCTTTTGCAAGGGCAGTCAGCAATATCTCAGATGCACATTGATCAATCAGCCTGGGTTCCTTGGTGATTACCATGCACACAACCTTCTTAACAGTCTATAATACATGTGCAGCACTGGCAAGAAGTAAACCTTTGTATCTCATGCCACTGAGATTTGGGGCAGGGGGTGGTGGTGGTGCTTGTTACTGCAGCAAAACTTAATTCATTCTGACTAATACACCCTCTTTTGTTGACTCTGCAAACAAACTGGTTTTACTTTCCATTATTGTAATAGTAAATGTGCTTAATAATTATTGGTTGTTCATCCAAAATACTCTGCCCAGCATCTCACTGAACCATCTCTTAGTCTTTATAACTCTGTCAAAAGTAGGTGATATGTGACACCTGTCTTGTCCAATATACAAAGTTTAGGGGTGACAGTGACACCTAACATTTACCCCTCCATGCACACTTAATGAATTAGTTAATTTTCTCATTACTTTGATGAACTACCTAATGAAAAATGATTTAAAAGAGGACAAGGGGTCATTTGGGGGGTTGGGTTCATGGTTTGAGGATACAGTCTATCATGGAGGGGAAATGTCATGGTCATATTGCATCCACAGCCAGGAAGCAGAAAGAGATGAATGATGGTGCTCAGCTAGCTTTATCCTTTTCATTCAGTCCAGGACCCCAGCCCATGAATGATGCTGCCCACAGTTAGGGTGGATCTTCCAACTTCAATTAACCCAGTCTAGAACCTCCCTCACAGACATGTCCGGAGACTTATCTCCTGACTGATTCTGGATCCCGTCAAGTTGACAATATTAACCATCATATTTAAGAAAGCAACACCCTGGTCCAGTGGGTGGGATTGGGAGGAATAATGATGGTGCAAGAATCACCTATGGTTACAGTTTTCATAACATGAATTGAAAATCACTGACTGGATGACTGATTTGTTCATTCATTCACCAATTGTGATTGAGTATCTATTGCACCCCAGGTACTTTCAACAAGGCAAAGATTTCCCAAACACTCTGTGTGTGTATGTTTCTGTGTAATTGTGTGTGTATATGTGTGTGAGTGCATTTGTGTGTGTGTGTGTGTGTGTGTGTGTGTGTGTGTGTGT